ATTTCTCCATCTTCTCCTCTTCTTCTCTTTCTTCTTATTTCAAATTTTTATTTTGTTATTGTTTTTCTGGCTACCGACTGTGCTTCTTTTCTCTAATCGCTTTTCCTCCTAGAAGTCATCAAACACAGAGACCAGGTAATCCTAATCCCTAAGTATCCTATTCCCTAGATGCTTTTAGGTTAGTTTTATATGAAATTTGTTGAGTATAATCCTAATGCTTTAGAAATAATAGATTAACTTTTATAAGAAATTTTGTCTAATGTAATCCTGATCCTCAGGGCATCTTAAATTAGTTTTAGATGAGATTTGGTATACACAATCCTCTAGGTGATCGTAGGATAATTTTATATTAAATTTTTTAAATGTAATCTTAATCCTGGGGGAAATTTAGGATGTTTTCATATATTATATGTAACTCTTAGGGTATTTAAATTAAATTATTTTAACCTCTAGAAATTAATTTGATTAATTATTGGCTTTTGGCTTTTGGCTTTACTCTAATAGATATGAATATTTGGATTATGATTTGGAAAATTATGATATGATGATTGGATTTGAATTTTACTCTGGTAGATGTTGAATATGAAAATCATGATATTCTTGGATAATGGATTTGAAAATTATGATGGATTTGGAAGTTATGATAATCTTGAAAATTTGAATTTGAAAATTATACTCTTGATTAAATTGATGTGGAAATTATGAAAAATATTTGAGGAAATTTTCCAATTATAAGGATTGTGACAAGATTGAATTTTATTGATTGTGAGTGATTGTAATAAATAATAGTGGGAAGATAGCTTTTGGGATGGTACCTCCTGAAAGTGATGAACACAACCTTTGGGCTTTATGCCTTCGGTATTACGTGATGTGACAATGATATTTTTCGTTCTCCCAAAAGTGGTATCTGACAACAGAGTTTCTTGGTGTACTAGTAGCAACTTTGAGAAGAGGTGTGCACACTATGATTTGATATTTTGATATGGCCAATTTTGATTATACGTGGCTGGCAACAGGATTTCTCGGGTCACGGGGTAGACTGACAACAGGGTTTTCCGGGTCTACCATGGTTCTCTTCTCACTAAATGAACTAAATGCACTAAATGGATTAAATAAAGATTAATATAATAAATAACAAGTTGATACTTGATTTGAATTTTTGAGTTATATTACTTGATTTGATTATTATAAGTTATATATATGGGTTTTGCATCTATCATTTAACATGACCACAACAATTTTCCTACACACACAACATTTTGTGGGATCCACAATTTTTGAAACCAAAAAAAAAAAAAAAACTCTGGCACGCAAAACGAATCTCTATAACATAACACAATCATTTTTCCTACAACATAACTCTTATAAAACCCTATATATATATATATGTTTGTATATTGGATTGGGATTACTAGCTTTGCTGACTGTTTGTGTTTGTTTGGCTGCAATGATCCTTCGGGGGGAGCAGATTTTCAGTGAAACGGGTTGCAAAGAATGCGGCTAGCTGTGAGCAGTGAGGATAACGACTCAGATATTTCTAGCTAGTTCATAAGTTTAGAAATTTTATGAGATTTAATAAATGCATAAGACATATTTCCTTTAGTTAAACTTTAGACTTTGGTTTTATTTAATATAATAAATTTAGTCTTACACTTGTCCATAGTACAAGTGCGGCGATAACATTTCCCAAATTTGGTTAATTTAAATTTCATAGTTATTTATGATTTTAGAAATTTTATATTATTATAAATTGTTAAAAATTTGGGGGTGTTACAATGCTATGCAAACTAATCTTCTTCCTCTTGGAACCTGTGATGCAATTGAGAAGATTACTCGTGGCTTTCTATGGAATTCGTGCAGCAATGGAAACAACCCTCATAATGTCACTTGGAATAAGGTCTGCTCTGCGAAAGAGATAGGAGGTTTGGGGCTTAAATCTACGAGAGAAACAAACAAAGCTTCCCTAATGAAAATAGGATTTGGAATTCTTAGGAAGAAGGATGCTCTTTGGGTTAAAGTGTTGAAAAACAAATACCAGATTAGTAATGATCCAATCCCTGATTTGAAATTTTCAACTATTGGATTTAACCTTTGGAGAGGAGTAGTGAAAGTGTGGCTAGACAGTATTCCAGAATTCTGGTTGGTAATGGTGAAAACATAAAATTCTGGCTAGACAATTGGCTGCCTAATCTAGGACACATCAAGGATGTGGCAAATAAAGAGATACCTGAACACTCTATCCAGGGGAAAGTTTCTTACTATGTTACATCAGAAGGATCTTGGGACTGGCAGAAAATCTCAAACTTTGTTTCCCTTGAAGTCAAGAATGTCAATGCTAGCATGATACCTGCAAATTCTGAAAATGTTGAAGACATGATTTATTGGACAGAGACCAGTGCTTGTTGCTTCTCTGTAAAATCTGCTTACAAAGCTTTAAAGAGCAATGATGGAGACCAGTCGAGAGTGAATTGGAAAGCCATCTGGAAGTGGGACGGACCTAGTAGAATCAAAACTTTCCTTTGGCTTTTGCATATGTTAATATGATGACAAACCAACAACGGTTCAACAGACATTTTGCTGCTATGAATATATGCCCTCGTTGCCAAACTCATTCGGAAAGCTCTCTCCATGCTATTTGTGGTCTCAAGGTGTGTGGAAAGCTCTGACTTATCCTACTAAGTGGCTCTCTTTTTGTTCGAATCCCTTAAAAGATTGGATAAATGAGAATCTGCAAATTGAGGTTGATGGCACAAATAATAGAAGTTGACCTCTCCTCTTTGGCGTGACTTGTTGGTGCTTATGGAGGGAAATGAACGAATTCATTTTTAATGGGGTGAAACCGGATATTCAGAGAAGTATCAGACTCATTCTTGGTCACTATGTGAACTTTATTGTTGCGAAATGTTTATTGTTGAAAGAAGGTCTTCAGCAAAATACAACCCAAAACCAAGTGATCAAATGGAATCCTCCTTTGGCTGGCTGGATGAAAATAAATGTTGATGGAGCTAGTTCGAATGGAAGCTTAAAATTCGGTTGTGGTGGAGTGATAAGGAATTGTAATGGAGATTGGGTAGTAGGATTTGCAAAAAATCTAGGGCAGGGAAATTCATTCAGAGCGGAATTATAGAGTATCCTTGTGGGTCTTACTGTTGCCTGGGATCAAGGTTTTCGAAGCATCATTATTGAAGGGGACTCTACCCAGATTTTGAAGTTTATAAAGCAAGATGACCAACATAATCATCCTCTAGATCACATTGGAAACACTATGCGTGATCTTCTTGAGAGGAACTGGTCAGTGCGGTTAAGCATACTCTTAAGAAAGGAAATGTTGTGGCTGATTGGATGGCACAAAACTTTATTTGTTGAAAGGAATGTTTAGTTGTTTTTGACCCCTCCTTTGGGGTGCAATAATTTACTTTGTAAGGATAATATGGGTGTTGGGACTCTTAGAGTAGCTTGTTCTGTTGTTGTTGTGTTCCAAAAAAAAAGAAAGATTGGAGGACAAAATTGTAAACTTATATTGGAAGTACAAAAGCATACCTTTACTTTTTTTAGAAATGATTTAGGTACTAAACTACTACAAAAAAAGCTCTATTTATATTGGAGGACAAAATTGTAAACTTAGATGAAGAAAAAAAAAGTCAAGATTTATAGTTTTATTTGCATATTTTTTTATCTAAAGATTCTTCATTTATCTACTTTTTTTTGGTAATTCATTTATCTATTTTTATATACGTAGTTATGCTTCAAATTCTTTGAGAATAAGGTGAAGATGGTGTTAATAAAAAGTAACATAAGTAATATAATCTCTCAATTCACTCTTAAAAATGAAGCAGATCATTCTTAACTCATTTTATTAAATTTAAAAATTTTAAATTATTAATACATAAATTTTTTTATAATTTTAAATATTTTTTAATCTATACTTTTCATACTAGAGGAAGGTTATATTACAACATCTTTTTACTTATAATCTTTTACAATCAAATATTAGCAGTTGATTTCTGTTAATCTGATAGTTATAATTTATTAAAAACTAATAATTAATTAATAAGTGTGACTCAATAAATTATAACCATTATATTGATAAAAATAAACAGTTAAAATTGGATAATAAGAGGTGGTAAGTAAAATTTTTTTGTAAATACAACCTCCATCTTTATACTATAACTAAATTACTTCAATATTTGTTCATTTTTTTAAAAAGTTTTACTTGAATTCAAAAACATTCGTATAATACATAAAATATTTATTAACAAGAATGAAAATCGAAAGACCTAACAAGTGACTAGACTAGACCGTCCTAAAGTCAAAAGTAATATACCATACCACATTAAACCATGCCTTAAATTAAGTCCACAAAACACTTCCTCAAATATCCAAACATAATTAATAACAAAGTGATCACTTTCACCTCATGGTTTGGTGAAAACACAACAATCACAATTGAGAAAATAAACACCTGAATTAATTAACTTTATCCACTCTTAAATTTTTGATAACGAAATTCAAAAGACAATACCAATTGATTTATTTACCTTTCATAATTTATATACTCTCACTCAGTCAAGGATACTAAACGGTCAAAGTCAAACAATCTCGGTCAACGTTCGGTAACGTCGAAGAAAGATTCTTTGGTTTCCTTCGATACAAAGCACTCATATTCCTTACTTCCTCGTACTTTCTGTTTTTTTTTTATCTTTTTTTATATTGGAGTCAATGATAGTAAAATAATAATGAAGAAGAAGGTAAATTTCAAATATCTAATCTATACAGCCATGTAAAAAACTTGTGTCTTTTTCTGAAGTTAACACTTTGCGGCAACATAACTACATCGATACACACAAAAGGGAAAGTGACAAGGTTGTGCCACCTAGACTTGCTTGATGAACAACAACGTTGGCTTTTACTTGGTCTGTGGAATCCGAAAGACACGTTCACATTGCACCTGGTTTTGATCTTAAATAATATTCTCCATAGTATATCCATTTGTGTTCCGATTTGGTTGGTGCGCCTGCAGTTGCCGTGTGGAGACTTCTCCTTTTCTCTGGAAAGTTGAAGTTTTTCTCTTCATTCCCCTCTTTTGGAAGCAATGGCTTAAGTGGGTCTTCTTCTCTTCACAGAATCTCAGTTTAAAAGAAAGGGAAATTTGTCATTTTGTTGAGCTCAGAGAAGCTGAGGCTTTTTGCAATCAAACTATCTATTTGGACTAGAGGTGAGTTTCAATCTGAAGATAATTTTTTTGTTTTTCTTTATAGACAAATAGGAACTGCAATTGATCCAAAAATTATCCTTATATAGACGTTTATGGGCATCTTCTATTTTTGGATTTGGAGACATGTAGTTTCAGGTACCAATTGTGTTATTACTTTTGTAGTTTAAAATTGACTTACTAGATTACCCCTAAAAAACAAGGACTTACTAGAATAGGGTTGGTTCTCTGAATGATGTTGAGAAAAATATATGATTTTATGAGTTAACAAGATTTCTGTTAGGGTTATCTGAAATTAGAGCTGTTGGGGTTATCTGAAAATCTCCTTCTGAAATTTGGTCATGCACGGTTATTTACTGCAAATGGGTTTGTTTTTTCCTTTCTGAATTGGTGAAGTGATTGGGAAGTCTTTAATATCTATTACCTTCAATTTGGATGTCATGTTGCTTTTTCAATGACTTCATGTTTCTTAGTTTTCCTTCACTTTTTCTGAAAATGTAGTCCTGTTCCAGTTAGGTTGAAATGAAGTGTTTTTCATTCTACTACGGAGAGAAGAAGGACGATCCTAAGAGCTTGCAGTTGCCGTCATTATCGGGTCGGTCCAATAGTTCTACTTATGTTGAGGGAGAGATGAAGAGATCTGGTTCTGAATTAAATTCTCAGAATGCCTCAGACAATAGCACAGACTCCCTCAGGAGGAATGCATTTCCCAGTTTATCCCAAAGACCCAGCAACCTGAGAGTGTTTACTGTATCTGAACTGAAATCAGCTACAAAGAATTTTAGTCGCTCTGTTATGCTTGGAGAGGGAGGGTTTGGGTGTGTCTACAAGGGATTCATCAAGGGTGTTGATGAACCTTCTAGAAAAATTGAAGTTGCAGTTAAACAACTTGGTAGAAGAGGAATTCAGGCAAGCTTTTGCATTCTATATTTTCCTTGTGAAAGCTATTTTAATTTTGTTGCTTCTGCAATGTAAAGAGGTATCTTAGTAATTATGATAAGGCGTTATCATGCCATGTATAGTTATTTTGCTATATGATGTACTTTATGTGTTGTATTATCATAATGCAAGTTATAATAAGCATAATGTTATAAAGCTTAATTTTGAATTGTCACATAAGTTGCTTCGAGTAGAGACAATTAGAAGTAAGAATGATGAATACTTAATTATTTATCTTTAAGAATGATGAATACTTAATTATTTATCTTCCCACACTTCAAGTTTTTATTATATTTTGCACATCTTACTCGATCCTCAAAACACTTTAGTGGTAAAGTAAGATGATTTGATTGCTACACAAGATAGGAATTTTGTGTTAACCTTAGTGTACTTTTTACTCTACATTACAATGTGTGTTACTTTTGGCTTACAGGGGCATAAGGAATGGGTAACAGAAGTGAATGTTCTGGGTATTGTTGAGCATCCCAATCTTGTGAAACTAGTTGGGTACTGTGCTGATGATGATGAAAGAGGAATCCAGAGGCTTCTGATTTATGAATATATGCCCAACGGCAGTGTGGAACACCATTTATCCCCACGATTAGAAACTCCTCTCCCATGGAATAGGAGATTGAAAATAGCCCAAGATGCAGCTCGTGGCTTAACTTACCTGCATGAGGAAATGGATTTTCAGGTATAGTATAGGCATATAGCATAACTTTCCTTTTCAATTACATAAAGCCTTTTATAGATACTTGGTTTGAGCCCCTTTAGATATCCCATTTCCCCTATAAGAAAATGGAAAGGAAGCTGAGAGAGGCTAAATTGGACTTTGTAAAAAAAAAACACTTTTGCTATTCAAATGTTTTGCGGCTTGTTATTGCTGTGCTAACTATGTGTGGGATACTTAGATAATTTTCAGGGATTTCAAATCTTCAAATATCCTTCTGGACGAGGAATGGAATGCAAAGCTGTCAGACTTCGGGTTAGCAAGACTGGGACCATCTGATGGGCTAACTCATGTCTCAACAGCGGTATGGATATGTTTATTGATCTATGATTTCATATATTAATCCACTGTTCACATATGCAGAGATGCAATTACTTTTGATCTTTGCTTAAGCAAGAGAGAAATTTGGTATAAGAATAGGGACCAGAATCTAAAGGCATCAGTAAAGCCTGCTAACAATTTATGGGGTTAGAGTAAATGGTCATGTCAAATATGTCATCATATGAATCATGTTTTAGTACTGGAAATCATAAGACCTCTCTTGGTGCCTTTTAATTTCCATCTTTTTAACATATGTTGAAAAAATAAATTCACTTCTTGTGGCATAAAAAATCACTCAATCTAAGTTTCTCTACTTTGTTATGACTACTGTTATTTTAACATGAGAACATTGATGGTTAAAATTAGTAAATTACCTTTATATAGTGAAAGCATCCTTCATACAAAGGAACTAGCCATTTTTAGCTTGGATCTAGTTAATCAACATACAACTTACATTCATATGGCTGGCATGTTCATCAGATTGTAGGAACAATGGGGTATACAGCTCCTGAATATGTTCAAACTGGACGTCTAACATCAAAAAGTGATGTATGGAGCTATGGTGTCTTCCTTTATGAACTCATTACTGGCAGGCGCCCTTTAGATCGAAATCGGCCCAAGGGTGAGCAGAAGCTGTTGGAATGGATAAGGCCTTACCTTTCAGATGCTAAGAGATTTCAAATAATATTGGATCCAAGACTTGATAGAAAACAAAAACACCTCTTCAAGTCCGCTCAGAGACTTGCTGTAATAGCTAACCGATGCTTGGTCAGAAACCCAAAGAACCGTCCAAAGATGAGTGAAGTATTAGAAATGGTGAATAGGATTGTGGAGTATTCAGTGAGTACTAATCCACAGTCACCCTTGAAGAATGTAGCCTCAGTAGAAGCTTCTCAGGACACTGAAATAAAGAACAAGAATAGGATCATGGATCCAAAACCAGGAGTTTGTAATTGGTTTAGGATGTGGAGACCAAAGCTTTTAAGAGCATGTTGATTATTGAAGCTTTAAATTTATCAAGGCTATGAATTGGAGGCAAAGCTTCTTTATGACAAGAATCATCTATAATTACCATACTTGGGACACCACAAAGAGCTTATGTTAATGCGATGTTGTCACAAAAAAAATGTCTAAGCTCTTCATCTCCTCTAACAATGTGTACAAACTGCCTGTGCTCCTCACGGGTTCTTCTAGCTTGTTAAACTATTTAATGAAAATTTTAGGGATGCTATTGAAGTACGTGAGAGGAATGAGTTATGTACTTCAAGGTAGAGGCTGGATTTCTATGATATACTAACTCTGTTGATGAGCCTGATGCATCTGGTTGTTCTGGATCTCAGAGAAGCCAGTATACTGAAAAGTGTACATTAATCACTTTAATGGATGTAAAATAGTTTGGTTGTAATTTGAAGGCATTGGATGATTTTGTTATATCTCTTGAGAGACTCTTTCTCTGGAAAAATTCTTTGGATTTTGAAACGTTGATATAAGTTTAATTTATTTTTTTAATTTACCTCGTGGAAATTTAACTTTTATGATCATAGGTTTTAATATCACGTCACATAATCAACTCTCCGAAAAATTTAAACCATATTATATGAAGACACATGAATAATTTTACTATATCTTTTAACAAAGTCTTGCATCAAATGCACAGATTATTATGTTTTCAAACAAAATATCGAGTTTTGTTGCTTTTCTATGCATGTATATAAACATTGAGAAGGAAGAAACCTTGTATTGAAGCCAATAAGAAGTTGGGTATTCCAGTTAGCTTGTAGGATCTCAATGTCTATTGAGAAATGTATAGGTCACTACTAAAGACGGGTTGGTTCCACTTTGATTAGCTTTTTCCAAAAAGACCAATATCCTATATTTACTAACATTTTTTGGTAAGAAAGTAAAAAGGTGTATGGTTAAAGAAAGAAATAAAGAAGACAAAAAGGTGTAATTTAAATATTCCGGAGATATAAACACATATGTAATAAATACAAAGACGAAATATTTTTATTTTTCTTATTGTCATTGACCAATTTTTTACCAAGCAACCCCTTATAGGCTGTCCGGGTGTGCTAGGGAAGGCACCAAAGGTGTGACCTAAAATGATGGACACTCTTACTTTACGCAAAAATGATGACGTGATTTTATCTTATTTAATTACACAACTAAAGTAAAATTTAAATATTTAGGTTTAGTACATGTTTGGATCAGTTTATTTTGTAATTTATTTTTTTTTACTTTTTGCAACTTATAATTTTTTTTGAAGATTAATAATTCAACATCAATATTACTTTTGTCTCAGACAGTTTATGAAATCAAATAAAAGCATTAGGGAAAAAGAAATAGATGGAATCACTTCGTATTGGTACTTCTTGTAGATACAAGATATATTTTAAAGATAACAAAGAAGTAACAACAAAAAGAAAATAATCTTCATCAAGAGCAAAAAATATTAGATGCATGTTACAGCCACACAAGAAGATTAATGACATCAAAGTTGCAACAACATAGATGAGCTTTGAGAATAATAAGGAATTAAGAGCAATTCAATCAAGTGCAACAAGGAAGAATAACAAAACTAAGATTAAAGGCACCAAACCATGGACAACATCTAAGAGAAGCTCAAATATCATAAGTCACAACCATGGTAAAAAAAGGAGCAAAACCAACAAAATTGCCAACAATTGTCACATCCAACAAGTCAAAGTATCAAGCTCAAGGGAAGAATCAAGATCCAAGATTGAAAGCAGCAAGTTAACTCTAATTCCCTATTAGAATACACTTTAGGACTTAGATACAATTGTAAAGGTATATGGTGAATTGAGTTGTATGACCTCAATGTTGCATAATCTCTAAAAATTGCATGACTCTTACACAAATCATCTTGGCAAACTTTTCAAACAAAGGAAAATAAGCTATGTATGCTCAGTGGCAGACCCATGATATCATGTTTATGTCCGCACATTTAGTGGTGCCTCCCGAAATTTTTTTTTGTAAAGAAAGTTTAAATCAATGCTTTATGTACAAGGTTATGAACTCGTTCATAATTTAGTTGCTTCCATAACAAGCTGCAGGCAATAGTTTGACCAATCATCCCCCCTAAATGTTACCAATCCTCCAAAACAAATATGAGAATAAACTCCAGTACATCCATACATCATCATTCTATTTATAATGGTGAATAAAAAAGTCAACATTACCTGTACAGAAGGGAAAGCTCTCATCTCTAGCGATTAACTTATTTGAAAATGTCACATCTGCAATCAATCTTCTCTTTTTAAGCCAGAATAGAGCATCAAAGCTGAAAGCAAATCGCAATAAAAAAAAAGTAGTATATGAAACATAAATTAAAGCAAAAATTAATAGAACAACACAATAAAAAATACCAGATAACAACAAAAATAATAGAAGGTAATACCACGTTGGCAGTAGAAGATGACAAAAGCATTCTTCGATTTTTCATTCTTTGAAAATATTGCATTATATCTTCATCATCAATATTATCAAACATATCACGTTAAACATAAGTTAGCATGCATGCGTTAAACCAATCATCACTTATCCGATTGCGCAACTTATCCTTAACAAAAGTTATTGCAGAAAAAACTCATTCAACACTAGCAGTTGCTACCGGTAGAACGAGTGCCAACTTTATCAACAAATAAATCAATGGATAAAAAATATCCTTTCGCTTCTCAACCATCTTCAAAGCAAGGTCAGAAATTCTTTTCGAATTGACAAAATCAGAATCAGCTCTTACATCAACAATAAAATTACCAAGACTTGAAGAAAGAAAAGGAATATCTGCAAGCTCATTAAACTCCAAAGGATAAAATCTAGCAAACTCAATCAACTTTTCTTTGTTAAAACTAGCAAATGAATCACGAGGGTCAAGACAACTCAAACACTCAAGCAACTTGGTATTGACATTATCAAATCGATCACCCAACTCTTGAACCTGAGTATCTATCACTCTATTAAATAACTCCACCTTAAAGTAGTGCAAGAATGTGAATGATTCCAATCTCTGTCTTGATCTCCCTTTAGGATAATAAACATCCTCCATATTTGGAATGTCAATATCATATTTATTTGCAAAAATGTTCGTTTCTTGAAGCAATTCATCAAAACCATCATCTCTCACCTCTTGTAAACGAGACTTGACAACCTTCACTAAACCAATTGCATTTAAAAGGTCTTGATCTTTTCTTTATAATGCTTGTGACAACTCATAAGAAATCCCCAAGATAAGTTGCATAAGATGCAACAAGAATGCAAACTCATAATCCTCCATGGCATACAAAATGAAACCTGCATCAGTTCTTGCAACATCATTCCTAGGCTCGTCTTCAATAATTTTCATCAAGGAAATTATTGGAGAAAATAATGAGATAACACTTGTAACTGTATCAAAATGGGAACCCCAATGAGTGTCTCCAGGTCGCTTTAAGGTTGTCTCTTGATTTAAACCTTTTCCAGTTGGTATTTCACCGCGAGCAATTCTTTCAACTATATGCTCATATTGATTCATTTGAAGAATTTCCTTCCGCTTGCATGAACCCCCCACAACGGTAGCCATCTTTTGAAGCATGTCAAAAAATTCTTGAATCTTTTTGTGATGTTTTGCAACCTTCACAAGTGCCAATTGTAACTGATGAGCAAAACAATGAATGTATAATGCAGATTTGTTCTCTGCCAAAATCAAACTCTTAAGCCCTTTGAATTCACCCCTCATATTACTAAAACCATCATAGCCTTGACCGCGACATTTAGACAAACTTAAACCAAGTTTAGAAAACAGACCATCAATCGCTGCTTTTAGTGATTTTGCAGTAGTATCTGAAACATGAATTATGCCAATAAAACATTCAACAATAGACCCCTTTCTATTTACATACCGAAGTACAACTGCCATTTGTTCTTTAATTGCAACATCACGAGCTTCATCGACTAGAAAGGAAAAGTAATCATTGCCGAGATCACTAATTATTGCTTTAACAGTCAAATCAGCACAAGCTTGAGCAAGATCTTTCTGAATTTTTGTTGAAGTCATTTTGTAATTATCGGGGGCATTTTGCAAGACCACATGACTCATCTCCTTATTTGGCTTAGTATAAAACTTTAGAGTTTCAAGAAATAAACCTTGTTGATTTGAACTTTCAGATTCATCATGTCCCCAAAAAGGCTGACCATTTCGTAGTAAGTATCTAGCACAATCTAAAGAAGCTTTCAGCCGAATACAATAATCAATTCTTTGTTGTTCAGAAATATTTGAAAAGGCAATATCAATATGTTGGTTTTGCTTCATCAAATCTTGACCAGCATGATAAGATCTATTGTGAACACTCCTATGATCTCCAACATGAACTTTGATTATATCCTTCTTCTGCCAATTTTTGAACCCCACACCGACAAATGCCTCATTCTCCGAACCACTACCTCTAACCTCCATATCAAATAGATAACAATATAAGCAAAAACATGCATCTCGTGATACACTATACTCCAACCAAGAACCAAATTCTTCATACCTCTTAGGATTGAATCTACGCATTTTTCCAAACATTTCCGTTTGAGGGAATGGTTTAAGAATTGGTTGAGTTGGACCCTTGAGCAAATAAGCTCTCCGAATATCCTCTCTCTCTATAGGATTTGATGTTATTGAATAAATTGAAGGTCTTTTTTCTAGATCCGCTTCAAGATTTTCTATATTAATTTTTGCTCCAGGTGGTGATTGAAAACTTTGAAATTGAGATGCTTGTGGTGGTACACTTTGTCTTTGAGATTGAGGAGAATTTTCAACAATTGAAACATTTTGTCTATGAGGTTCATAGGATTCGGGTTTTGTATTTGTGCTCTTTTGACGTTTGAAATAAGATTGTATCCCTGACAAATCATAATATATACGTAAATCAATTATACTCATTATGTTATTGAAACAATGACAACCTAAAAATCCAAACGTAAATATAAATTATACCGTTTGTTGTTTGAAAACAATTATAACAAAATAAAAAAATATAGAAAGTTACCTTTCATTGAGACTTGTCGAATTATTATGAAATAAAAACCTTGATGAGAGAATTCAGGATGTGTTATTAGCCATATGATTATAAATAATTTTTCCAAAACCTGTGAAGGGTACTGAAAAATAAAACCACAAAAAGTTAGTACTTTTTTATCCCAAATAAATATTATATGGATTCAAAATTGCAATATGGATTCAAAATTCACTATATCTGCCTGATATGATCAACAGACTTCCAAATGATAGGTCTGGAATATGAGTTGGGAACAACTGCAATAATCAAAATATAGTTTAAACTTCAAACATCGAAGAGATGTAACATGTAAACATGATCTTCAAATAAACTAGATCATTAGAGCACATATTTCAAATTATAATTAAGGATAAAATA